ACGAGGCGATACTAGGTCTCTATCAAACCTAGTGATCAAGATGCAGAACTGCAGCATTGCTCAAGACCACCTCGAATATCGGTCAGACGTGGATGCAGTCCGCATGCTGGAATCGATTGTCAGATGTTTGCCGGCCGAAATGCAGACAGTCTGGGCGACCGAGGGCGATCGAATCGAGAAAAAGAACAGATAGGTTCAATCTCGCATAGCGAGAACACAACCTGTGTGGACAAGCTACTTCATTGGTAATCAGCACGGTGAATGGGGCACGAGCAGTTCGAGCTTCTCAACTGAGTTTGAAGTTAGCTCCCACATCGGGGGAAGATACGATAGAGGTGCACCATGCATTTACTATTGCCGAACTACCAATGAGAGCTTCCGAAAGTATCCGGTCGCTAGCGCGGCGTTGGCCTCACCTCCACCATCTGCCGTTCAAGGATGTTCCGGACACCCGTATTGATCGGCTGTGATGTACCCAAGGCGCATTGGGTTCTGGACCAAAGGATGGGAGGCCCTAGAGATCCATATGCTGTGCGCACGATGTTTGGTTGGATACTCTGCGGGTCGCTCAGTAAATAGGAGACCGCAGAGATCCATATGCTGTGCGCACGATGTTTGGTTGGATACTCTGCGGGTCGCTCAGTAATGAGGGTAATTAATCGGCCTCGATCAACTTCATATCGCGGCCAGGTAATCCCATAGGAGACGATCTGGAACGGCTTTACAATCACGAGTTCGGCAACATAGCAGATGACCGGGTATCTATGACGAGGGAAGACCGAGCAGCCCTGGCTGTCGTCACCGAAACGGCACTACACAACGGAATCCAATTCGAGGTGCCGTTACCCTGGCGAACGGGATCTAACCGACTGCTAGACGATCGAGAAATAGCCCTCCACAGGCTCAAATACATCAAGAGTCGATTAAAGAGGAACGCGCAGTTGAAGGAAGCCTACTGTAACGCCATGAAACGCAATCTAGAGTTGGGATATATCGAACGCGCAATGGGAGAAATCGAGAAGGAGCAAACATTGTGGTACCTTCCGCACCACCCTGTCATAAACCCCAAGAA